CTGCCCCTTCACCAAGGTGGAAGAGAGCTTCAGCCTGCAGGCCACGCATGACCTGCTCTACCACCGGCTGGACCTGGACAAGGTGAGTGCCATGCCTTTGTGCGGCCATGAGACAGGCCCTGCGGGTGGGCCCAGTGGCAGGCATACATGCCTGTCCACAGTACGACCATCACGAGTTCCCCGGCATCGTCCCCAATGGCAGGCCCTGTGGCTGGTGGCTTCACTGCCACACACTCCTGTCCACAGTATGACCATCACGAGTTCCCTGGCGTCGTCCCCAGGACTTTCCTTGGGCCCCTCTTCCTCGCCACTGTCTCCAGCCCCGTGGTTTACCTGCTTTCACTGCTGGAGGTGCCCAAGTTTTACTCTCAGCTCGTAGGTGAGTGGATCTTTGCCTGTGAACTGAGTCGGGCATGGAGTTGACATCTCACTCCGGGGGTGTCCAGTGTTTGGACTCGTGGCCACCCAGCTCTTTGTATGGTGGTGCAGGCTGGGGCTTAGGGGCCCGTCCTGCTCCATGGTGTGTGACCAGGGGCAATGCTGACCCTCCCTGTGGCCCGCTGTTTGTCTGTGAGGAGGGGATGAGCCCCCCACCCCACAGGAGCGTGATGAGAGGCACGAGTGCTGCCAGCTCCCCACTGCTCACCTCGAGGGCCCTGGAGACGAAACCCTGCCACCACCCAAGGCCCTCGGACCACCTTCATGCAGCCCCACTCCGAACCACCCTTGTAGCTGTTCGAGCCATTGGGGATGGGGTGGGGCGAGGAAACAGTTCTTGGGAGGGTGGGTTAGGAAACACAGACCCTCAGCCCACCGGGCCAGCGCCTTCCATCCAGAAAGTCTGTCCAGGGCAGCCCGCCAAGGAGGCTGGAAGCTGAGATGGCATGTGGCACTTACCTGCCTGCAGTGGGGAGGGCGCCACTGCCTCTCCGAGGCCAGCAGCCCCGGGAGGGCCTGGGCCACTGCACTGTCAGCCACAAGGAGGTGAACCCTTGGTGCCTCTTCCCAGACGTTGCTGCTTGGGGCACCTGGTGGGCAGCAGGTCTCTGGCTCTGGCCAGGTACCAGCCTGTCACCCTGGCTCTGCAGGCTCTGCCCGTGCCCCTGGCTGTCAGGCTACGTGCAGGCCGATGGCCCTCTCGAGCCTGTGCCTTGGGTACTGGTAGGGGAGTCATGGCAGCACAGGCTTGGGGCTGAGTGTACATGGTTCGCTTTCCAGTCCACTTGGTGGACGGGGGTGTGGCTGTCCCGTGTCACTCACGTCACTGTCAGTCACGGCCCAGCCAGCCTGAGTGTTGTGTGTTGTGTCTGCAGTGAGGGGGGCCCTTGGACTCAGTGTCATTGCTGCCCTCTGGCTGCTGCAGCGGGAAGTGCGGAGGCAGTTTGGGACCACCGTGGCCACCCTGTTCTGCTGGGTGACGGCCACACAATTCCACCTGATGTTCTACTGTACGCGGACGCTGCCCAACGTGCTGGCCCTGCCCGTGGGTACGGAGTGCCCTCCCTGGACCTCAGTGCTCTGTCAGAGGGGCTGTGGGGGTGCTCTGGGCTGGGGGGCTGGGAGGCCAGGTGCTGCAGGAGAGGGGAGGGGGCAGGAGCAGAGCACGGCCGCTGACAGCACACTGGGGCACAGCCCAGGCCATGGCGTTCCCGGACAACACGCCAGGATCCAGAGCAGCAAGAGGCCCGTGCAGGGGTAGGTGCGAGAGGGAGGGGAGCGCGGTCCTCACTGCCTGGGTGAGACGTGGCAGTGGCTGGGATGTCAGGGTGAGGGTGGTGGCTGTAGGATGTTTTATCAGCCTGGAAGTGGGCAGGCAGCCTGCCTACCCTGTGCCCCCATCCTGCCCCTGCCCCCTGGTGGCGCTCATGGCCTGGCTTTAGGCAGGCAGGCAGTGGGTTCGAGGGTGACCCTGAGTGCCCGCCTGACTGCCCGTCCCTCCCAGCCCTGGCAGCGATCACGGCCTGGCTGCAGCGGCGTTGGGCCTGCTTCCTGTGGCTCTCGGCACTGGCGGCCATCGTCTTCCGGGCTGAGCTGGGCCTGCTCTTGGGCCTCAAGCTGCTGCTGCTGCTCCTGGGCAGGAAGGTGCCCCTGAAGCGGGCTCTGCGCCATGCCATCCCGGCAGGAGCCATCTGTCTGGGTGAGTCTTAGGCTCTGGGGGGCGTGGCGAGCGTACCTCTGCATGTTCCTCGTGGAGGCAGTGATGTCAGCTCTTTGCAGGAGTGGTGTGGTAGCCTGGTGTGCTGTGACCCTCTTGTCCTGTCCTGGGGAGCCCCCCTGGCCAAGGTGCCAGCCTGCATTGGACAAGCAGCAAGTCCTGAACTCCATGAGGGGCGTTACTGGGAGAGGTGGTGGCCCCCCAGCTCCATCCACATAACACGATGGTGACAGCTCCTTGTCTGGCCAAGTGGCTGTAATGGCGGCTAATGACCCGGTGTGGGAGCCTGAGTGTCCTGGCAGTTGGGTTTACTGCTAGGGTGTCATTTCTATGCTGTAGGATTGACAGTTGCTGTGGATTCGTATTTTTGGCGGTATCCTGTGTGGCCAGAGGGAAAAGTCCTTTGGTACAACACCGTTCTGAACAAGAGCTCCCACTGGGGTGTATCCTTTGGTGTCCTCGTCTGTGCACCTGTGTGTCAGTCATCTTTCTCTTAGTCTATGAGGTCAGCAGGGATGGGTATTTGGCCACACCACCATGCACCTGGGCCAAGCAGCTTTTCCACCATGAGGCACCTGATGCCTAGTCCAGGTGGAGCTTGGTGCCGCCCCTACACTCAAGGAGCACTGGCCCAGCTCCTGCGATCCTGGGGGAGCCCTGCTCTCTGTGGTCCCTGATCCAGCCCCAGGGCCTGCATCTCTACAGTGAAGCGGGGCAGTGAGATGAGCCCAGGAGGCTGAGGGCCTCACTCTGCTTGATGGTTCCTGGGCTGTGGCCTCTGCTGTCATCGTGGCCCGGGGCTCTGTGGGGTGCGGGGTGGTGTCCCTGTGCGGGTGGACCGGGGTTCTGTGGGGCAGACATCTTGGCGTGGCACCCTCTGGCCTTTCCTGCCATGTGGCTGCGTGGGAAAGAGCGGGGCAAGAGCAGAGCCTGGCCGCTGACAGCGCTGGGGACGCGGCTCCCTGGACGTGTACTCCTTAACGCCTGCAGACCGCCCCCTTCCTGTGGTACCTGTACTCGGCACTGCCCCGCGCCCTGGGCAGCAGCGTGCTGTGGGTGCCACTGGGTGCGAGGGACCGGCGGGCCCGTGGACTGCTACTGCCGGCCCTGGGCTTCGTGCTGCTCTACTCACTGCTGCCGCACAAGGAACTGCGCTTTGTCATCTACACGCTGCCCGTGTTCAACATCGTGGCTGCGCGTGGCTGCGCCTACCTGTCAGTGAGCCACAGAGGCCGGGGGGCTCAGCACACGTGGCAGGGGGCGTGGGCTGCGGATTGGATGGGGCAGGGGGGCGGGGAGGACAGGGGAACACTCGGATGGTACTGAAGCCACCTGCCTTCCATGGTTTCTGTCGCCTGCATGGTTCTGGTGACCCACAGCCTCTGGCAGTGGAAGAGAGTCGGGGGAAGGGGGCTCTGTTCCACCTGCACCATCAGGTGTAGACATGGGGGTTGGGAGGCGGTCATCTCTGCTCTTATTTCTCATTCCTGAGACTCTCAGGAGCAGGTTGCCTAGGCCTCCCACTTGGCCCTGAGACGCCTGTGTGGACACCCTGCCTGGGTACCCTCAGCCAGCTTGTCCCCACCGTAAACAGCCATGTAGTCGGTCACTGCCTCTTCTTGCTTCCTGCTTCACCCTCTCAGCAGAGTGGGGTGCTGGGGGTCCACCTGACCTCATGGCCTGAGGCACTGTTCGTTGGGACAGGATGTTGGATCCCCTTGGCACTGCCAGTGGGCGCAGGAGCAGCAAGTGGGTGATGGTGTCCTCTGGGAACCACGGAGAGCTGCCTAGCTGCATCTGGTCGCAGGCAGAGTCCGACCTGCATGACCACCGGGGCAAACTAGAGACCTTGGTCCGCAGATCACGTTCTGATGTTCTGGGTGGCGATTCAGAGGGAGGTTTCCGGGAGTCTGTTGTCACCTGGAGGTGGACTTGTGCTTGCCACGTGAGCCAGCAGCAGGGCTGGTTCCTGACGTGTCTGCTGGCGTCTGGCCATGGAGCCCAGCACTGTGCGAGTCTCCAGCACGGGTGTACTCTATTCCAGGCTAAACAACTACAGGAAGTCCTGGCTGCACAAAGCAGGCTCGCTCCTGGTGATGGCACACCTCGTTGTGAACGCAACCTACACGGCCACCTGCCTGTACGTGTCCCATTTCAACTACCCAGGCGGTGTCGCAATGCGGCAGCTCCACACGCTGGTGCCTTCCCACACAGGTGGGTGCACACATGCAGGTAGGTAGGTGTCCTGCACCCAGGCAGGTGCCCTTCCTCACACACAGGTAGTTGTGCCCCCCCCGCGCAGGTAGTTGTGCTCCCCCCACCCCCCACACAGGTAGGTGCCACAGTTGTGGGCAGCTCTGTGGAAGCCCCTGGCCGGGCCTGACGGCCACCTGCCCTCCCCAGGTGTCAACGTGCATATTGATGTGGCTGCTGCACAAACAGGTGTTTCTCGGTTCTTGGAGGTCAACCCCGACTGGAGGTATGTGTCTAGCACACCCAGGTGTCTTGGGTTTCTTCCATGTACTGCTCCTGCCAGGTCCCCTCAGGGGCACAAGTGCTAGGAGTGGGGTTGCCACACCCTGGGGTCGGCAGGGTGGGGCCGCCGTGGGAACATCCCTGCTCCCATCTGCAGGTATGACAAACGGGAGGACCTGCAGCCTGGGGCGGCAGGCATGCTGGCCTACACACACCTGCTCCTGGAGGCGGTACCCACGTCCCTGGCCCTGTACCAGGACTCACACCGGGTGCTGGCCCACGTGGCAGGCACCAGCGGCGTGCATCTGAACCTCACCCGGCTGCCTCCCTTTGACGTTGATCTGCAGCCGAGACTGGTGCTCCTGGAGCGGGTGCGCAGGCTGTCCTGAGAGGCGCCCGGGGGCCAGCCCAGTCCTTCCTGGACACGTGGGCTCATTGACTGGCATAATGAAGGCAACGTAGAGGATGTCGGAGACCATGGGCAGCCCCTCACTGGCAGTGGTCCTCACAGCAGAGTCTCCTGACACCCGGGCCACTGCCAGCGTGGGATGCTGTGAGCTGAGCCCTTCGTGGTGTAGCCCAAGCTGGATGCCAGTCACAGCCAAGTGCTGTGCCATCCTGACAGGTGCACTGCGCAGACCACTCACGGTAGCTTCCGGAAGATCCGCTGCCCAGTGATGCCTGCTCCTCTCCTTGCTGCCCAGTGTGGCCTTGTGTCTACATCGCCTGCCAATGTAGGTACCAAGTAAAATGAGGACTTGACATTTTCCACGTGTTCCTGTGAGGTGTCTCGTGTGATTATTTTCGAGACTGGCTTCATCCAGGGGTTACTGTTAATTGACAGCTGGCACCATCACTTTACTGAATGGTCAATGACAGCATGCCTAGAGTGGGTTTGACACCGCCCAACACTAGGGTCAGAACCAAAGGCCACTCCATGTACATCACACACACACCGTCTCTACTGGCTGGGACTGAGCACCTGACAGGCCCTGTGGCTCTGAGCAGCAGCCCCTGCCACGGCCGTGTGTGCTGGGCTCCGGGAAGACACAGTCATGCCACATTTGTACCTAGTTGCTGTCTCTGCTCCTGTTCTGCTGGTTGACCCTCTCGTGTTCTTTGTAGCACTATTCCCCTTGGTCCAGATAGGGTTGGCTGCTGCGTGTTGACACCACATCTCTAGTCTCCTTCAATCCCGAACATTGCCCTGCCGTGCCGTCCTGTGACGTCAGCGTTTTCGAGCCAACAGTTCCCGTCCTCCATCCAACAGAAGGCTCCTTGTTATCTTTAGGGGGATCCCAGATGTGGGCAAAGGACATTGGCTGGGTTGGGTCTTGCCACTTTCCTTGGGACTGGGGCCGTGCCGCGTCTCACAGGCTGGCAGTTTGATTGTCTGGCCTTTGTTTCTGCCGGTTCCTGGGTGAGCAGTGGAGTCTTGATGGCTTTTTATGAGTTTAAGGGCCAGTTTTGTGTTTATTTTTGTGAATTGTTCATATCGATTGCTCCTTTTTTATTGGCTTTTTGGTCATTTTTTCTACGAGTTTATAGAAATTCTTTGACGTTAGGCGTATTTGCACATCATCTCTGATGTCTGGTCCTTTCTCCGTTTTGTTGTTTGCCACCTGACTTTGCTTACAGTGAGTCTCCCATGCAGCGTTCGCATTTTTATGCGGTCCCATGTCAGTCTTTCACAACACCTGGGATTTTGATCAGAGCCAGAGAATTGTTTGGCCATGTTACCTTTTAGTGCAAATGTGTCCACTTTCATATTTGGATCTCTGCTCTGGATTGTACCTTTGTGTATGGTGTAAGGGCTGAATCTAACTTCATCTGTTTCCACAAGGATAATCCATTGTTCCTGCACCATTGGTAAAAAGTCTGTCTTTGCTCCAATGACTTGAGATGCCAACTTTATCACCTACTAAAGTTGTATCTGCAGCCAAGTCTGTTCTAGTTCTTCTGTTCTATTCCATGGGCTGGTCCAGGCATTGGCACCACCCACTTTCATTATACGGGCTTTATCCACTGCCACGGAGTGGCTCTTTATGGAAGCAGATTGCCTCATCTTTCTCCCACAGAGTGGCTAC